ATTAGTTGGTTTGAGTAAATCACCAAATACGAATGCCCTTTGGAAGAGTTCTAAACTTCACTGGGGAAAAAGAGAACATGCCATATTTAGCCTCCTTTAGACAATCTCAGTACTTGGTCCAGTTCTTTAAGCAATAACAACTTTTTAATTCTAGAGCCCTACACACAAGAGAAGGAAGAACTTCAGAAGTTAAATAATTTACTTCTAGCTTAATAGTCGGTCTCTAAAGTATTGCTGAAAACTCTGAGGTAACCTCATCGTCATCTCTAAGACTTAACTTTCAGGCTCTTTCTACCCCATCCCTATCCTTCATTTCTCTTCATAAGAAGCAAGAAGCAAAAAGTAACCCAAAAAGTTTGCAGTACTCTAATCTCTGGATGAGACAATGCCAAGTCATTCTCTAGTGATTAAGGATACATAAACCAAGCCCTATTTTATATCCCACCCTCCACTCACCTATCTATCCATCCATCCATCCATCCATCCATCCAACAACAGGCTTATATGTCAGGATACAGAGATACAAAGATGAATAAGACAGAGATTATCCCTTCAAAAAGTACACGTTCTATCAAGAGATGAGTGGGAGAGACATGGCCATTAGGATTTACTAATTTGTATTTTCATGAGGCCAGCTGATCTATGTTCTCAGTTTTCCTCGTTCACTGCTTTCCTGACCACCCTCTTAGTGAAGATAGTCCCAGGGCTATTCAAGTTCATAGCACCTTGGTCAAAGTGTGTGATCAGAGAAATCACTATGGAAGTGGAAAGACTCCTGATCTGGGACTTGGGCTACCTGAGATCCAGTTCCTTAAAGGCAGTCATTAACTTTAGGTCCCCAGACAGGTTCCTCTCTCTGGGATGTATAGTCTTTATCTGTGGAATGACCAGGTGGGACCAGATAATTCCTGGGGGTTCTAGTTGCCAAGACATTCTGAAAATCTATGATCCTACTCAAGTTTTAAATGGTATCTGGAGACCCCTCTGAAATGAGTTCCAGAACTAGGAATCGGAAATCATGTTGAGTTGGGCAGACTTTCTCATGGGACAGATTCCATAGACACAATTGGTATATGTACTGTGAGTTACAAAGCACTTTCATACCCATTATCTAATTTTATCTTTGTGAGAACCTGATCAATTCAATATTATCACTTTTATCCTCATATGAGGAAAATAAAGTCCAGAGAGCTAAGTAGCAATTTCTTTTTAAACTGTGGGGTGTCCAGTTTATTTATTATATGTTTAAATTTTTTTCTTTCCATAGGTTTTTGGGAAACCAGTGGTGTTTGGTTACATGACTAAGTTATTTAGTGGTGATTTGTGAGACTTTGGTGCACTCATCACCCAAGCAGTGTACACTGAACCCGATTTGTAGTCTTTTCTCCCTCACCCCCTTCCCATCCTTTCCCCCAAGTCCCAAAAGTCCATTGCATCATTCTTATGCCTTTGTATTATCATAACTTAGTTCCCACTTATGAGTGAGAATGTATGATATTTGGTGTTACATTCCTGAATTACTTCACCTGGAATAGTAATCTCCAATTCCCTCCAGGTTGCTGTGAATGCCATTAATTCATTCCTTTTTACAGCTGAGTAGTATTCCGTAGCATACATACACCATGGCGTCTTTATCCACTCATTGATAGATGGGCATTTGGGTTGGTTCCATATTTTTGCAGTTGCGAATTGAGCTCCTATAAACATGCATGTGCAAGTATCTTTTTCGTCTAATGACTTATTTTCTTCCGGGTAGATACCCAACAGTGGGATTGCTGGATCAAGTGGTGTTTCTACTTTTAATTCTTTAAGGAATATCCACACTGTTTCCCATAGTGGCTGTTTATGTTCTCACCAGCAGTTCAGAAGTGTTTCCTTTTCACCACATCCATGCCAACGTCTATTATTTTTTGATTATGATCATTCTTGCAGGAGTAAGGTGGCATCACATTGTGGTTTTGATTTGCATTTCCCTGATCATTAGTGATGTTGAGTGTTTTTTCATTTGTATATCTTCTTTTGAGAATTGTCTATTCATGTTCTCAGCCAAGTTTTTGATGAGATTGTTTTTTTTTCTTGCAAATTTGTTTGAGTTCCTTGTAGATTCTAGATTCTAGATATTAGTCCTTTGTCAGATATATAGATTGTGAAGATTTTCTCCTATTCTGTGGGCTGTCTGTTTACTCTGCTGAAGTGGCTAATTAAGTTTTAAGTCATTTAGATTAGTTTTCTCATTTAATTAACACAATAACCCTATGGCCACAAGCCACACACACAGCTGGGTCGTGGGTGCCTGCTCACTCCCCATCCTTAGCTGAGCAGGTAGATGGCTGCACAGCAGGTGCTCAGCCAGGGCTGCAGAGCAGTGTTTGAAGGCAGCACCAGGCAGGTCGTGCTGTGGAGTAGCCCTTAAAGGCAGCACACTGGAGGGCAGAAGTAATAAATGGGCATCCTGTGAGACACATAGAGTCAAGATGGACAGCTCTTTATGTTTTGCCTTCATGATATTGCAGTCAATCAGTAGCATTTAAAAAGAAGGTGATTATATTTAAGATTCCAGAAATTCAGTTTTTCTTCTAAGATGAAAAGTTCCAGCATAGTTGAACCTACCTTCCATCATCCTGATTAGCAGCTGCCCACCTGAGATAGGGCATTGCTATAGTTTAGATGTTTATCCCTTCAGACCTCATGCTGAAATTTCAGCTCTATTGTGAAGATTTTGTCCCACTCTCTAGGAGAGAACTTTTTTCTAGTTCCTTCTCTTCTCCCGCTGTTCTCTCTCCTCTTCTTCCTCCTCCTCCTTTCCATTTTAAGAGTAGATAAAAATGTCAGGTATAGGCGATGGGGGGATGGTGGCAACAAATCACATTGCCATGAGTGTAGATGCAACGATCTTGCATTATCTGCACATGTACCCCAGAATCTAAAGTATAATTAAAAAAAAAAAAAAGAGTAGATAATGAATCTGGGACTCACGGAGACTAAGCAGCTTTCATAACACTAGTAAGTTACTAGGGCTCACATTCCATCCAAAATATATCTAAACCCTCCACTCACAAGCTTGGTCAGAATCTTAAATGCCTACAGGGATTGAAGGGTGATATATACAAGTGGAATAATCCACATAGAAGGATTATTTCACTTTAAACTTTAGCAAAGAGAACTAAAAGCACAAGTAAAATAACATAAGGAAACTTACACTTTGAATTACATTGTAGATAGAGAAAAAAATAATGGAGCATTATAAAATGGCAAAATATTTACCTGTCTTAGTCCAATTGTGTTGCTATAAAAAAAACCTGAGGCCAAATAACTTAGAAACAAAGGCTTATTGGCCTCACATTTCTGTAGGCTGAACAAGAAGCATGGCATCCGTATCTGCTTCTGGTGAGGGACTCAGGCTGCCTCCATTCACATAGAAAGTGAAGGGGAGCGGGGTGTGCAGACATCACATGAAGAGAGAGGAAGCAGGAGAGGGGCAAGGGAGATGCCAGACTATTTTTAAGCTGGTTAGCTCTTGCAGGAACAAATAGAGCGAGACCTTAATTCCCATCCCTAACAGAGAAGGCATTAATCTTTTCATGACGGATCCTCCCCCATGATCCAAACACTTCCTCTAAGGCTCTACCTCCAACACTGGGGGTGAAATTCCAGCATGAGGTCTGAAGGGATAAACACCTAAGCTATAGCAATGCCCTGTCTCAGGTGGGCAGCTGCTGATCAGGATGATGGAAGGTAGGTTCAACTATGCTGGAACTTTTCATCTTAGAAGAAAAACTGAATTTCTGGAATCTTAAATATAATCGCCCTCTTTTTAAATGCTACTGATTAATTGCAATATCATGAAGGCAAAACATAAAGAGCTGTCCATCTTGACTCTATGTGTCTCACAAGATGCCCGTTTATTACTTCTGCCCTCCAGTGTGCTGCCTTTAAGGGCTACTCCACAGCACGACCTGCCTGGTGCTGCCTTCAAACACTGCTCTGCAGCCCTGGCTGAGCACCTGCTGTGCAGCCATCTACTTGCTCAGCTAAGGATGGGGAGTGAGCAGGCACCCACGACCCAGCTGTGCATGTGGCTTATGGCCAGCATTTACCCTGAGTGCATTTTGGATATTTTATTTTAAACATCATTCTTGGATGGATTTTTTCTCTTTTTTCTTTTTCTATTCTTTTTTTCTTTTTTCTTTTTTTTTTTTTTTGTGTGTGTATGTATGTGTGTGTTGTTTCAGATGGAGTCTCGCACTGTTGCCCAGGCTGGAGTGAAATGGTGTGATTTTAGCTTACTGCCACCTCCGCCTCCCAGGTCCATGCAATTCTCCTGCCTCAGCCTCCTGAGTAGCTGGGATTACAGGTGCACACCACCACACCCGGCTAATTTTTTGTATTTTTAGTAGAAGCAGGGTTTCACTATGTTAGCCAGACTGCCTTAATCCTCACAACAATCAGAAGGAAGATTTAATTATCTCTATTTTGCAGAAGAGTGATTTGATACTATGGTTATAAAGGTTACATAGCTGTAAGCAGATTGCCTGGGACTTTAGATTCACCTCTGACTCCATATGCTCATTCTTCTATAGAGCTGCTCTATCTTTAACATAATTTTAAATTACTTCGAGTTAGAAAAGATTTTCTCTTTTGCACCACTCTGGTGAGAATCTGAAACAAAGTGGAAGTTGGCAGATGCGATCATCTTTTTGGAGAGAAGACACTTGTGCCACTCCTCATCTCCAGGCCGCCAGGTCTTCCAGGGATGGAGAAGAAACTGTTCGGGCCATAAAGGAGGAATAAAACGAAAATCTTCTCTTCATAGTCCTGAGGCTTCACCAGTAAGACAAGACACTCCCATACTCTGTAGGTGACAGCAAGGGCAGGCACACAGGGAGGGAACCAGCTGCTGGAATGCCAGCCTGGGTGATGTGCCAGGCAGATGCCAACCAGCTGTCTCATGGTGCAAGCCAGGCCCATAACCCTTTATATAGACAGCCCTCTTCCCAGATGCCTCAGCCTGAACGACTGCTTGCCTGTGAAGAGGGTGAGTCTAGGAATGGGATCCTGGGATTGGGGTGGATGTGATCTTCAGGTTCACAGTGGCGAGGCATAAAGAAGGGAGAAGCTAGGAGCCAAGGAGGACGAGGGATGCACCAACCTGGGGAAAGAAACCTCATGAGCTTTTAGGAGAAAAAAGTATAGCTACAGAGGTTATGAGAAGGCTGTGAAGCCAGCGTATTTGCCTTTGATAACCCTAACCTTATCCTCAGGTTCCAATTTCCTTCATGCTCTTTCTGGAAAAGCCACATGAGCAATTTACACCTTATGAGCAAAGTTATGTGTGGACAGGTTACCTTCTCTAGGGAAATAGATAGGTATGCATTCTCTGTAAATTAAAAATGGAAGGTTTGATCCCTCACTGGGAGCATTTGGGGAGCTTGTTGAAAGGTGTTTTGTTGGGTGAGCCTGTTGTCGAATGATCCTGTTTGCTGGTCTCTGGGCTGCCTACGCATAAACCTGTGGATCTGGAACAAGCAGAGGAATGAGACTGCTCTCCCTGGCCAAGCGTGGTGTCAGGGTGTCTGCCTGCAGCACTCACATCATGTTTGCGATGCTCCAGCTACGCAGATCTTTAAGTGGGGCAGAATGTCAGTCTTGTGATTAAGAATCTTGGACTTTCTGGCTTACTCCATCTCGGGTAACTCCACCTTGCCTGGCCTGCAGACTGTCACACTTCAGGTGATTAACAACAGCAACCTGACTTGGCAAGTTGCCATGGTGGTCAGAGTCTTTTCAAGGCGGGTGTGCTTTGCACAGGCACACTTTGCATGTGTCATGTTTAAACAATATTTATTTTAAAACATTGTGTCATGTTTAAATGAATTTATTTAAAAATATTGTGCCGTGTTTAAATGAATTTGTCTAAAAACATTGAATATAGAGAAACAAACATTTAATATTGGATTTGAGCTGCCCACTTTCCAGTGAATGCTTTGCCATTATATGAATGTAGATGGTGCCTGAGTGCTTATTCTCACATGTACATTCTTACATGTTTGCACATACATGTGTACTGCCAGTGCACAGGTGTGAGTAAATCCAAGCTCCTGTGGGAGTGGAGTTTCCACTCTGGACTACAGCCTTGGGACCAAGTTGTTACCTCTACTCCCTGTGTGGCTTCTCAGACCTCATTGGATGTGAGAAAGTGTGGAGAATCCTTTTGTCATCAGCGCCCTCTTGTTCTGGGCATGGGTATGTCCGCCCCCAGGGAGGTCCTGGACACCTGCAACCCTGGATATGCACAATCAGGCCCTTTGACAGAACCAGGGCAGGGCTCATGGATTAATCCTGGGTCCAGCCAAGTCAGGACACTTGGGTGAAGGTTGAAGGTGGAGGAGGAAAAGCTAGGGAAGATGCAGGGTGTCTTCCCAGAGGTCCTGCCTCCCCCTCTCCAACTCTCACCCTCCTAACCCTGGTCTCTCTGCCCTCAGGTCACGCTCGACCGGCTGCATCGGAACCATGTGTGACCAGCAGCAGATCCAGTGCTGCCTGCCGCTACCACAGTGCTGCATCAAGGGTCCCTCCTTCTGCTCCTCTCACTCTCCGTTTGCCAACAGCCAAGTGGTGGTTCAAGCCCCTTGTGAGATGCAAATTGTGGAGTGCCCTGTATCATGCCCAGTTCAAGTTTGCCAGGTGACAGACCAGGCTCCATGTCAGTCTCAGACCACGCAGGTGAAGGGCCAGTCGAAGACCAAGCAGGCGAAGGGCCAGGCTCCATGTCAGCCTCAGACCACCCAGGCGAAGGGCCAGGCTGCATCCCAAACTCAGATTTCCTCTGTTCAAAGTCAGGCTCCACGCCAGTCTGAGGTGTCCTACGTGCAATGCGAAGCCTCACACCCTGTTCAGACTTGCTTTGTAGAATGCGCTCCAGTTTGTTACACGGAAACTTGTTATATGGATTGCCCAGTCCAGACCTATGTACCCTGGACAGCTCCTCAGCCTGTCCAGATGTATGTGGAGCGTCCTGCGGTGTGCCAGTCTCAGAGATTCTCCACCCAGTGTCAGTATCAAGGCTCCTATAGCAGTCGTGGGCCCCAGTTTCAGTCAAGGGCTACCTACAACAACTGCACCCCCCAATTCCAATCGAGGCCATACTACAGCAACTATGGCCCCCAGTATCAGTCCCGGCCTTCATTTAGCCCCTGTGCACCCCTGCGCCAGACCCAGGGCTCCTACGGGAGCTTCCCGGCACAGCGCCGGTCTCGGAGCACCAGCAGATGCCTTCCCCCTCCTCGGCGGCTGCAGCCTTTTCCCCGAAGCTGCTCTCCACCAAGACGCTTAGAGTTCTGCTCCAGCAGCTACCTGCCGTCAAGACCCTCTGAAGGTTTCCCTAACTACTGCACCCCACCCCGCCGCTCTGAGCCCATCTATGACAGCCGCTGTCCTCGACGTCCCACTTCGAGCTGTCCTCAGAGGCGTGGCCCCAAGTGCCGAATCGAGATTTCCTCCCCCTGCTGCCCCAGGCAGGTTCCCCCACAGAGGTGTCCTGTTGAGATCCCTCCCATCAGACCCCGCTCCCGGAGCTGTGGCCCGCAGCCCTCCTGGGGTGCCTCCTGCCCGGAGCTGAGGCCACAGGTACAGCCACGTCGGCTTCCAAGCTACTGTCCACCACGACGTCTTGACCAGTATCCGGAGTCACCGCTGCAGCGATGTCCACCTCCTGCTCCACGTCCACGTCTGCGCCCAGAACCATGCCTAAGTCCGGAGCCACGCCCGCGTCCTCTACCAAGGCAACTTTCAGAACCTTGTTTGTATCCGGAACCACTTCCAGCACCACGTCCAACACCGCGGCCAGCTCCTCGTCCTCGCCCAGCGCAGCGTGAGATTCCGGAGCCACGTCCATGCCTGCAGCCCTGGGAGCGCCCAGAGCCTTGTCCGCGGCCAGAGCCAATTCCCCTGCCTGCGCCCTGCCCAAGCCCCGAGCCCCTCAGGGAGCCTTGGCGCAGCCCCAGCCCATGCTCAGGCCCAAATCCGATTCCATACCCAAGAGACCTAGGCTGTCACGAGTCTAGTCCACACCGCCTAGACACCGAAGCTCCCTGCTGTGGCCCAACCAGTTATAACCAGGGGCAAGAGAGTGGTGCTGGCTGTGGGCCTGGTGATGTGTTTCCAGAGCCAAGGGGACAGCGTGGCTGTGAAGACCAAAGCAATGCCTGTGCTGGAGTGAAAGGTGAACCCAACAGTGCTTTTTTCTAAAGGAAAGGTGACTGAGACCACCCTGTCTCCTGCTCTGAAAATGTTCCTCCTATTCCGCAATTTTTAGTGGGCTCCTGTTTGAATCTCTCCAAAGATATTCAGAGACTCCCTACCACAAAGGGGGTGTCCAAACTGCTTTGCCTATCATCCAGAGATCCACACCTGGGTCTCAGATGCCTCCTCACGTGGCACTCCCCGCCTGTACATATCCTTAGCTCTAGCCAGACTAGTCCAGCCACCAGGCACAGCTTGGGCGTTCCCCATGTCATACCTTAAATGTCCCTGCCTCCAAGCCTCTGCTCACTCTTTCCTGCCTGCCCGGACCACTTCTCTCCTCCTGAAATCCAATCCATCTTTCAGTGCCTCTGTCTTGGAGCCTTCTTTGATTGCTCCCACTCACAAGAGCCTGTGCTGACTTCCTAGAACTCTGCATCCTCCACACTATCTACTTGGCAACTGGCTGGTGACATCTCTTGAATTGTTATTTCACTTTTCGGGTGTGTCTTCCTTATCTGCCCACCTAGGTTGTAAACTCCCAACTGAGTGGAGTCAGAAAATCCCTGCATCTCACTGCCTGTCCTGGGGCTGCCTGTTGCTTAGCGAGGCTTGTGGGTTGGCAGCTTGAATCATGTTCTGTCCTGATGCTCAACTGCAGGAACTGAGAGAAGGCCACGTGACAATAAAGATCGTGATGTACTCACTGCCTGCGTCCTGGGTCATTCCTGCTTTTATTCCTTAACTTGTGAGATGTGGTTTTCATTGTTGCTGTTTAAAATTGTGATAGCAAAATGCATGTAACATAAAATTTACCATCTTAACCATATTTTAGCATTCAGTTTAATGGCATTAAGTACATTCACATTGTTGTGCTACTAACACCTCAGTCTGTTCATAGGAGTCATCTTGCTGAATTAAATCTTCATCCATTAAATAATAACTCTTTATTCCCTGCTCCTTCCAGCCCCTAGCAACCACCATTTCTGTCTCTGAATTTAACGATGCTAGATCGCTCACTTAAGTAGAATCATACAGTGTTTGTCCTTTTATGACTGGCTTACTCCACTTAGCATAATGTTGTCAAGGTTCATCCAAGTTGAAGCATATGCCATAATCTCCTTCCTATTCAAGGCTGACTAATATTCCATTGCACGTACATACCACATTTTCTTTATTTGTTCATCAGTGGATGGATGGGCATTTCAGTTGCTTTCACCATTTTTTGTAGTAAATAGTGTAGCAATGAACATGGATGAACAAATACTTCTGTGAATCCCTGATTTCAATTATTTTGGATAGATGTCTAGAAGTGAGATCACTGGATACATGGTAATTTTATTTTTAATTTTTTGAGGAACTGCTGTATTATCTGCCACAGTGACTGTATCATTTACATTCCCATCGACAGGGTACAAGTCCTAATTTCTCCACATCCTCATCAACATTTGTTATTTTCTGTTTTTTTTTGTTTTGTTTTGTTTTGTTTTGGTTTTGGTTTTGGTTTTGGTTTTGGTAACAGCCATCCTGGTGAATATGACATAGTATGAATTTTCATTTTAATGTATTACCTTTCTTCTCTAGTTTATTGTACCCATAGTGTGAGCTTTTAAGCCTAGACCAAGTGTGTTGTCTAGTGGGTTTTCAATCTTCCCTCAGTGTCCTTGGACTCAGATGGAAAGGATGAAGGAAAATGCAAGAGGATGAGGGAACAGGAAGAATAACTCTTGCCCCCTGGCCTAGGAGTAAAGGACTTCAGGCCTGGGTTTGGCTAACTGGGTTTTGCCCGGTTCTAGGGCCGTGGTCACAGCCCTGTTGGCTCTGGAACCAGAGGAAGTGGGAAAGGAAGCATCTGGAGCCTCTCTGGACACTCCTCATGGTATGCACTCCTCTTCTTTCAGAACTAGGCCGGGCGTGGTGGCTCATACCTGTAATCTCAGCGCTTTGGGAGGCCGAGGTGCTCTGATCATCTGAGGTTAGGAGTTCGGGACCAGCCTGACCAACATGGCAAAAATTCCATCTCTACTAAAAACACAAGAATTAGCCAGGCGTGGTGACACACACCTATAATCCCAGCTACTTGGCATGCAGAGGCAGGAGAATTGCTTGAACCTGGTGGAGGTTGCAGTCAGCCAAGATCATGCCACTGCCCTCCAGCCTGGGCAACAGAGTGAGACTCCCTCTCAAAATAAAATTTTAAAAAAGAACTAAATTACTTACTTTTCTTTCTGTTTTCTTTCATGGAAGCATTTGAACCTGACTCTGCATTCCTCGATTGCTCCCAAATTCTATTAGGAATGGGTGGCCTTGGCAGCATGAAGGTGAGGGCTGGAGGGGAAGAAGAGGCAGCAGTGACTCTCCTCTCAGTCCTGTGATGAATGCTGGGTGGGGATGAATGAGGTGAGATGAATATTGGGTGGGAACATGGTTCTGCAGGACAGGCCCTCCCTCAGGGAGCTGGTGCCCTGAGGCCATGTGGTCTGCACAGGGGCGCGGTGGCTCAAGCCTGTAATCCCAGCACTTTGGGAGGCCGAGGAGGGTGGATCACAAGGTCGAGAGATCGAGACCATCCTGGTCAACATGGTAAAACTCCGTCTCTACTAAAAATACAAAAAATTAGCCGGGCGTGGTGGCGCGTGCCTGTAATCCCAGCTACTCAGAAGGCTGAGGCAGGAGAATTCCCTGAACCCAGGAGGCGGAGGTTGCGGTGAGCCGAGATCGCACCATTGTACTCCAGCCTGGATAACAAGAGCGAAACTCCGTCTCAAAAAAAAAAAACAAAAAAACAAACAAAAAAAAACTTCGTTTAGGAGGATGACAGCAGAGGGCAGTTCCGGCGTTGGCCTCTGAAGATCTGATCCATTGCCTTCCCCCTCACTGGCCACACCACGAAGGACCTCACAGCTACAGAGCCATAGTTGGGAAACGATCCAGGGCCTGGCTCTGAGTATGTATCTCCCTTGCTCAAGGGATTTAGTTCTGCAAGGCTGGTGGTAGAAACCTCAGAAACCACCTAGTAGAACTCTGTGTCATATAAAGGAAAATGAGGCTCTTCATGTGAAATCCATTCATTCATATGATTATTGGCCAATATTTATTGCTCTTCTGCTAGGATGGCGTTGGTTAGAGAGATAGTCATAACCCTTGTTTACTGTCAGTGCATAACCTAGTACAGTGGTCCTCAAAATATGGTATCTGAATCAGCAGCATCGCCAACACCTAGGACCCTGTTAGAAATGCAAATGAAATGCCTCACCCAACATCTAATGAAGCAGAAACTCTGAGAGTGAGGCCCAGCAAGCTGTGTTTTAACCAGCTTTCCTGGTGTTGCTGATGCCCAGGAACATTTGGTTTTCACTGGTTTGGTGAAATGCCATATGCAGATAGAATATGAATATACATATATATAGTAGGTGTCTATCTGTGTGTGTATACAGACACATACCTACATATCTATAAATCCTCTAATTCCCATAATATCCGGTTCAACAGGTATTATTATTTTGCCCTTTCGCAGAGTTGAAAACCTAAGCACTCAGGGTTTAAGCGCTCGCCAAGGCCATACGGCCACTCATGACTCCCAGTCTGCACTCTTTTCTACCATACATGGCACCTGCCTCTTCCAAAGATCTTTCCTGTTTTAACCCAAATATTTTCCCAACACAATCTTGGAGTTCTCTCAATCACGGAATGGGTTATTTTCATCAGTTCCACATCCGCTTCCTCTCTTAAAATCCAAGCTGCTCTAGAATTGAATCTGCTGTGTGGCACATGCCTCAGGGGCTTGGCAGAGCCTGAACTGGCCCCATAAATCATCTCTAGGTTCCCATCACCCAGGCCTCCAGGTGGGAGTGAGCAGGACAGGGTAGGGAGAGTCTTGGAGGCTCCACTGTGGGAAAGGATTCTTGTTAGATTTCTCCCCTACCCTCAAAAACACACTTCTAGACAAGGAACCCCTTGCCTGGGGATGCTTGGGAGCAGACCATTCACCCCCTCAAAATATTAAGGAAACACATAACTGGCTGTGAGAAGGTGGCATTCACTTCTAAGAAATCCTGCCCTTCTCCATGTCTGGGCAACAGATCCCCATCCAGGCTCTTTATTGAATGAGCAATGCTCAGTAGTCTGCACTGTCCTCTGGGGATAGATTCTGGTTCCCAGAATGATTGTAGAATAGAGGGGTCTTTGGGTGGGCCAGCCAGGAGCTGAGTCAGGAAACTCCCAATGGCCTGGGGTTCTCCACCGCCCAGGGCTATGCAGGAGCCAGCCCCCAGGCCATTTCTACTGGCCAGAGACAAGCATCTCAGAGGAAAAAGGCACACAGGGGTGTGTATCTGAGTCTTTCATGTTTCTTTTGGTGTATCTCTGTGTCTGTGTATATCTGTCACCTTTAAAAGCTTGGAGCTTTTAAAACGCATTTGGCAACAGGGGCCGTGACCTCAGAAGTGTAGTTTGGGGTATCCCACCTCCTCTGGCAAAAGCTCTGATGATCCTGGTCATCCCTTCTACTCTCCACCATCCACCATGTCACTGATGACAGGTATCTTGGTTTTCTGACCTTTCCTTTTGTGACCACTTGAGCAAAACTTAAAGTGCCTCCAGAACCAAGGCTGAAGACCCAAAGGAGCAAAAGAGACCATTTACAAGGCCCTTCAACGTACTCAAAAACCCACGAGATAGGCTCCCCTTCAAATCTCACACAGATGTCAGGCAGCACATAGGTTGTGTAGCTTCTGTACCAGAGTCTGATGAACTGTTGCTCAGAAGTGCCCATAAATTGGCCAAGTCACAAAGTGTGAGGCAGAGATTAGGCCAGATGTCCATGCCTACCATCCAGCTATGCTGTCTTAGAACCAGGGCCTGGCTTCCAGAGGGGGAAAACATGACAGAGATCGGGCCTGAAGATCACGCTTCTCACTTTGGAATCCTGCTTACATTCTTCTGCAATTCTGTATCTCTTCTTTTTCTAAGCTTTCCACTGTGGGACCTTCACTATAGAATGAAGGATATTCTCAGAGGTTCCTTCCAGACCAAGTGGGTTATCTGAAATTCCTTTTTGTGAAAGGCAGTATGCTAGAGTGAAATTACCTGGGGTATTCACTTAAAGACACAGAATCCCAGGATATATCTTAATTTAAACTTCCAGGATGAAAATCAGGAACCTCCATTTGAGAATTATTCTGATCAATCAGAAATGCGAAACATTTCTTTAATGAATATCCAGGTGTGTGAGCTTACTCAATACCTGCGAGGAGGGTTGAAAGCTGTACACATCTGGCCACAGCATGAGTAGGATGTGGCTGTGGTGGTGAAGACAGAGCTGATTGTTGACTGGTTTCTTGTAGGTTTTATGCAATTGTCCACTTGGGGATGCAAAATCTCTTGGTCTAGAAGCACCTTAAGATGAAGGAATTTCTTTCTTTCTCACAGTTAAATCCCAGTCTCACTTCCACCCAAAATACCCAGAATGAGGAGATCTGGCATATGTTACAGACATATAAGCGACAGGGGCCTAGTGATAACAAATCTCTCCTCTACCCAGGTATTACCCAGACATTGAGAGAAAGACGTTCCACATCCCACAGTTCGTTCTACACATTATAACAGCCTTTAGTGCATAAACAAATACAACTGTTATGCATCAGAGAATAGCTCAGCTGTTCATATCAGAATCCACAGGCGGACAGCAATAATCAGAATCCTGAATTCTGGCATGGCATGCATGGATTCTAGAGGATCCACATGCCTATGCCTGAGACTAGTCGGGAAGGCAGGGTGATGCCTGATGATCTATTTGCTTCTCATTGCTAGAGACCATCCAGCTCATTCCTCCAAAAGACGGTGCTTCCTGTTCTGGAGGGCTAAGCTAGACGGTAGCTAGGCACCTAGGAATAACTCAAGCAGTGCCAAATATACCCGTCACATCTCGTCGTAGGAACCCTGAGCTTGGTCCACACCTTTCCTCTATTCTCTAGTACACGCCTATCAGGGAGGGAGGAAACCACTTATGAAATTGCATCAACACATCCATTCACTTGACAAATATTTATTGAGGCTCTACTATCTGCCAGGAACTGGTATCAATCCTGGAGATACACTGGTGAGCAATGCAGACAATAGTATGGTGAGAGCTTCAACATGGGAGGCTCAGAGTACCATGGAAGTGCATGGAACGGTCGGTGTAGCAGATTCGGGGCCTGAAGGAAGCAACCACAAATCAGATGTGACAGATGAGTGGCAGTTAGCTGATGGGTTAACTGATGAGTTAGTAGAGAGGAGAGTCTTATCTCCCCTCAGAGATAACAGTAGGCATGCTATCAGCATCACTGACTTAGTGACAGACAGCCCAGTAAGGAGTAGGCCCTTATTAGTTAAATATCCTTCCTGGTTCCTAAACTATATGGAAGTTTTACGCTGGTCCCAGGACTCCATTCTCAGCCCTGTTCTAATGAACTTTTTATCAACGCCTTGGGGAGAGACTGAAAAGAGACTGGCCTAAATTTCAGATAACTTAAGTTATGAAGGAGAATCGAAGAGTAAAATTTTGCTTTAGCATGGGTAAGAATAATGAATTTAATCTGACAAGATGAAGTGTAATTAAGGTAAACATGAAGTTTTAATGTACATTAAAGCTTAGCCACCCCTGTGGAAGATGAGTGGGTGTATGTGCGGTTGCAAATGTGAAGACATTTTGGTTGATCAAAATCTTAGTGTGGGCCGAGAATGAGACTGTGTCAAACGGCAATGAACTGTTGTTCTGAATAGCTCTGTATGATGGGGTCATTCTGTTTGGCACAGATGCACACACCTGAGCACTGCGGTCAGCTCAGGTCAAACGTGTGGGGTTGGAGGATGACGATCTACTATATGTCAGCCACCAACTGAGGTGGGAAATCCTTCCTCATGCTCACAACTTGGAAAGGTGATTGCATTCACTCCATTTTGCAGACATTAGAAGACACAAAATCTAGAGAGGTTAACTAGCTTGTCCGGTCACACATCTAAGACTTGATAGTGCTGGAATTCAAGCCTAGGCTAATCTTGCCGTCAATCAGAAATACGATTTAGGCTTGAATCAGGATTGGGTCCTTAGTCACTGAAAGGTGTCCTTCCTTGACCTGGCCTGAATGTGAATTCTGGATTGAGCAATAAGTTAATTCATCAATCACTGCCACAGCATTTCATCAGCATTCTTCAGAGGTTTGTTTAGTGATAAATGCAGGGGGTGTCTCCAGTCTCCAGTGAGTATAGTCTTAATGCTCCTGTACCAGAGTGAGGTTTCTCATCCTTAGCACCACTGACCATTTGGGCAAGATAATTCTTTCTTAGGGAAGGCCTATTCTGTGATTCGAAGGATGCTTAGCAGCATCCCTGGCTTGTACCCACTAGACGACTGTAGCCGTGATGATCAAACACTTATCCAGATTGTCCAATGCCCTCTTTTGGGGTGTGGTAGTTAGGTTGGGAGGGTACAAAATCCACCCCTAACCCCACCCCATTGAGAACCACTGAGTTAGAGGAAAGGCCTAGGCTTTGTCCCCAGGGCCCTCCCAAGCCAACAGTGATCACTCTTTCCCCTTGCCTTCATCCCAAGAACCTCCCATTCATTAAAGATAAAGTCTCTATAAGGCAGGAATACATACAAATACATGCAAGCAGTTACAACTTTAAGGATATACAGAAGGTTTTTATTTTTCCCCAAGGGATCTGTATACTGACTATGGAAGAGCAGACTATCATGGCTATTATGGCAATTGTGAGTAGATGATCTGTGCCAGTCATTGTCATCATTATTTGGCAAACTTGTCCAAGATCTGAGAACACTCACTTTCTAACCTTCCTACTTAGTTGCCATGGAGTGCTAGTGGCAACCTGAAAAACGTATAAATAGGAAATTCTGTTGTCTCAAAAAAGTATAACACAGGTTATTTTAACACAAAGAGGAATGATTTGTATTGATGATTAGTCAATGAGGTTAATGAGTAAAAGGAGAAAGAGGCAAAAATGTACAATGGCCCTTGGGAGGGCTTCAAGAGCATGCCCACGGCTTTTAGCGGTGCTGGAACTGGAAATTGTGACCATGAGAGTGTGGATATGTAGTAATATTTGGCGATTATCAGCAGTGGTATTTTCTCATCTCATTTCCTACTGCTGTTGCCTTCTGTATTAGTCTTTTCTCATGCTGCTAATAAACACATACCCAAGACTGGGTAATTTATAAAGGAAAGAAGTCTAATTAACTCAGAGTTCAACATGGCTGGGGAGGCCTCAGGAAACTTAAACAATCATGGTGGAAGGGGGAGCAAACACATCCTTCTTCACATGGCGGCAGTAAGGGGAAGCACCGAGCAAATTCTTCTTATGCTATAATTTGGGGCAATATGCATCTCTCTAGTCCTCTTTTCTTATACCCACTCTGGATTTACCATCAGAAAGCCTAATTCACTGAGGTATGTAGGAGGAAAAAAATGGTCTCTAGTTTTAACAAGATCCACCTAACTTAAAAGCCATCTGTGGCTTTAAAAATTCTCAAGGTCCATTAAAATCTCAGGTAGCCTCTATTTCTCTTTGTGTCTATCTGTCTGCCTCTATCTGTCTATCTATCCATCCAGCCATTTTCTGATTGTAACCACATGCCACATACTATCTCAGGCTACTTCCTTTTGGCATGCTAATTCGTTTGTAAATTCTGCCGAAAAGGCATTTCCCTTACTATCTCTATTTAAAATATCAAAAAGCCAATGACCAAAAATATTGAATACTTTGCCAGGGTCCCCAAGTCCTCTTTGCTCTACTGCTGTGATGCACACACATGCGCATGTGCGAGCAGACAAGCCCTACAATGCAGATGTGTGGATTTTTAACCAAGCTATCTAGAGCCAAAAGTCTAGATGAAAAATTAGTGTCTAGGATGGAAGGAAAAAGTTGTTTGAGCAGAATTCTTAAGTGTGAATACAAGACTATGAAGAGAGCCATCTTCATAGGAAATAGGCCACTGAAGACTCCAGGAACCACGATGTTCATTTTCACCTACCACAAGCCCCCACTTCCACCAAGCTCTTCCCTAGCTGGGAGCAGCTTTCCTGAACACCCATGAAGGAAGGTATGTGCAGAACTGCCAGTCACCACCTGTCACAGGACCAACGTGGGTGTCAGGAGGCAGGTCCTCTCATGCCCAGGCCCTGTCTCACTGCTGGAGGCAGAGCCCAGGCCAGGATAAAAGGGCTCAGGGCCTGAGCACCCCATCCACTCACATCCTGAGGTGCTGAAGAACCCTGTGCTGCCTGTGATCCCGGTAAGTGTGCCCTGGGACAAGGAGCAGGGCTTCCATAGAGGGATGCTCAGACCAGGCAGGAGGAGAGGCTGGGCAGAGCCTCGGGGGCCTGGAATTGTGATTAACAAGAAATGGGGTGGAGGCATAAAATTAGAAGGAGGCGGTAGAGGGGTGAGCGAAGTGAGAGAGATTAAGAGCAACTGGTAAGATCTATAGGGCTGTATGACACAGAGTTAGAGGAACCAAACTGTTTTCAGTTGCTTAGTATGTTTCCCTGGTTTTAGAGAATAAATACATTGGCCACTAGATTATGCTGGAGTGATTGCATAGTGGGAATATAATTTTGGAAATACAGACACACTGATTTTTATAAAAGATATGCTGAAAACACTGCTACTCAGAGGAAGAAAGGATCAGAGACACCTGCGGATCTTGTTAGATGCCAACCAGATCCGAAGCAGAAAACTGAGTGCACACTGGAGCTTGGAAGCCATGTGACAGTGCCTGGGGACAGGCCTGGGAAGGCAGCATGTGCCAGAGAGCAGAGCCTGGGTTGGGAACCAAGTGACCCAGGAACAAATGTGACATGCCAGTGAATAACTGCGCTGGTAAAGTCACCTCTTTTGGCTTCAGTTTATTTGTATATTGAGTTGGTTGAAACAAATGGACTCCAACATCCTTTGCAGTGATGGTTTCCTATATTTCTGCAAACTGAAAGATATCAGTTCCTCTGAGAGAAATCCCTTTTGATTTTTCCTGAAAGAGATTTTCACCTCTAAACTTGTGGCAACATTGAACATCTTCAGAATTCATGGCGATGTGGTAGAATAAATGCTGGCCTGGAGCCAGTTTATTTCCTGGCCTTCTCTCCCACACTTAGAGCTTTAATGACCAGCAACTTTATTTACATATTTGGAGATTTTAGATTGCTTGACAGTATCTCAAATAAGGGTTGAAAGGAGACTCCATGAATGAAAGCACTTGGTAAACATTGAGAGTGATAAAACCATTGTAGGTGATTTTCCTACGTTTGATGTAAGGCTTTGGAAACGAAGGGTCTAGAAATAATGCACAAAGGACAAGAATAGGCAGGGGTGGCCTCTGCCTCCGTCTAACTTACCTTCTGACTCTCCTTCAGCTCCTGAACACCCACCGCCGAGATGTCCTGCCAGCAGAGCCAGCAGCAGTGCCAGCCCCCTCCCAAGTGCACCCCCAAGTGCCCTCCCAAGTGCCCCGCCCCCAAATGCCCCCCAAAGTGCCCCCCTAAGTGCCCTCCAGTGTCTTCCTGCTGCAGCGTCAGCTCTGGGGGCTGCTGTGGCTCCAGCTCTGGGGGCTGCTGCAGTTCCGGGGGAGGTGGCTGCTGCCTGAGCCACCACAGGCGCCACAGGTCCCACCGCCACAGACCCCAGAGCTCTGACTGCTGCAGCCAGCCCTCAGGCGGCTCCAGCTGCTGCGGAGGGGGCTCCAGCTGCTGTGGAGGCGGCAGTGGCCAGCATTCTGGAGGCTGCTGCTGAAGTGGACCCTGAGCCTAGAAGAGCGGAATCCTGTTCTAGGACATCCGCCTTCTCCTCCTAGGCCTACCTGAGAGGCTCACAGGTCCCAGGGAACGCTCTGAACTTACCAAGAGCATATCTTCTCCCTGGAGTCCAGAAACTCAGATCCTCTCCTGGATCTCCATCCACTGGCCTTGGACCTCACATTCGTGGCCACCCTCCCACCCTCTGTGTAAGCTCCTAGCTCACTCCACGTCGTATCTTCTTGCAGCGTGCATCTGCTGATTAAAACAATAAAACAAGGAATCTGCTCAGTGTCTTGTTCTATGAGAACTCCATTCTCCTTGAGTGGCTATTGTCATCCTCACCCTGTCCTCTGCTGGTGGTGGTCTTGGAACCTCAGGGGACAGTGGGGCCCTCTGGAGTGAATCGGGGTTAATGGGGGCAGGAGTGGGAAGGGATCACTGCTCCCAACTCTGTCTGTCCTATGTCAACTAGCCTGAAGCAGCATTGCTTCTGGCCAAATCTGAACTGTCTCTTATAAGCGCAGCTTCTTTGTCTCTGGTCCCCTTCAAGGGCCTAACCAGTCTCCCCACGCTTCTCTCCCTCGGTGAGTGCAGCCCTAGAGGAAGAGAAGGATGGAGAGACTGGTCCTAGCTGCACCCAGCATCCTTCCTCCCTCACATATATGTGTGTGCACACATACACACATCACATGCAAATACATATACTTCTGCACATTTCCAGGTGCACACAGAAACATGCACGCATATGCATGTGTATACATGAAAAAGAGAACAAAGCCCACGAATATGTTTTGAAAATACAGTTTTCCCACTGACTACTTCTGCAATGAGTTTAGTTCTAGGCACATTTACATATAAAAATTGTTTTTCTATTAATCTTCCATCAAATCTTGTTGCTTTCTTCCTTTTCTATCTGCATTAAATTATCTACACTTCGTTCCAGAACACACTTCCTATACTGCATTTCTCAACTTGCCGCTCCACTTCTGCAAACACAGCAACTCCCCATAGAAAAAAAAATGCATGTGCTTCTTAAGTATTACATTGAAGACTTAACAGAAAGTGTTTCCAACTTCTTTTCTAAGGTTTGCCATTCATACCTCCCCTGAACCTCCACCACTAATGCTGCTGTCAGGAATTAAAAAGCCTTAACCACCCATGTGGCCATGACTTTGTACTGGTAGCTGATGGGGACTATACAATATAAGTCACAAATTGTGCTGTCAAAAGTTTCATTAAAACTTTTGATTCGTGAGGTATGTCAAAAAGAAAGGAAAATTGAGCAAGTGAGATTTGAACTGCTAGTGGGCGGTCGGGCTTGGCAAAGCATAAATTAGAGGAATTGTACAGGGTCTTATGCACAGAGCCTTGAATGTCAGCCGGTGGCCATTGACCTTGATCCTGAACACAGTGCAGAGCCCTGAATGAGACTTTATTAATGGTCAGGGGTCATTATTTCTGGAGTGGGGGATGGTGTGGAAAGATCAATTTTGGATTCCAATGAAGATTAGAATCATAGAGAAACCCTAGAGAAATGAGGCAGTGTAACTGAAGGGAAGGTCACGTACCTTGAGATATATGATACTGTAATAGTAGAACTAGGTCGATTATATATCTATATCCATATACTCTACTTCTGTATCTATGCCTATGTCCATATACATAGCTCTGATATTGATATTGATTTTCTATACCCATTATTACCTGGATATTGGTATTATTGTGGCAATTTTAACCTCATCACGTGTTCTGGAGAACTGCTTTTGACACTTCCTGAAAAGAGAACTTTTTCACATGATTACTCCCTGGTCTAATTCGCTTTCATCTAATTAGTTCTTCTATTTTTTAAATAATATTGCCCTCAAGATACGGAAGGAACACCAGTTATATACCAAATTGACATTAGTAAATCTTAATCTCCTAAAAATGTTTTTAAATAGACCTTCAGACAAAAACTTTTGTTCATGTTGAAACAAAGAAATAACACTGAAACTTTCCCATTGCATTTCAAGTCTTCCTACTTTTTCAGGTCTTCCAGCTTCCTCCACTAGAGGTCTCTGTTCCAGGGTCCTTCACATAGTGCCCCGGACTTGGACCATCTCAAAAAATATTCATTCCCTTTAAAATTATTGATAGACAGATATTTCATATGAGGAGTCACTGTGTTCCAGGAACTTTAATGAGCATTTTCCTTCTATAATTTTGTTGATTCTCACAACATCCTGGAGACTAATCTTTATTATCTTCATATCTTTATTATTCTCCTTTAAATTTAAGTATCTTTATTATTCTCCTTTCAATTTCAGGAAACAGAGGATGAGATAATTTGGGATTTTCAGAAGTCACACAACTAATAAGTGACAGAAGCAGGATTCTGTCCCAGGTGTGTCTGACTCCTATCAGACTTGTAAAAGTGATGGTATAGACACGTATTTGTACACACACACACACACACACACACACAGACACACACACACAGACACACACAAACAGAATCTGGGACACATCAGGGACATTAAAAGATTTCTATAAAATTTTGGATTAAATGATACTGTCAGGGATATAGAAAAAGAGGGCTTGGGAGGCCAAACTCCAACGAAAAGACCTAAGGCAGCTCCAAGGAGAATGAGGCGGCACTAATGGGAACTATTCTGATCCCAGGTGAGAAGCTGTTAGTTTTCACCTGGTCATATGACCCATGTAGGTGACAAGAGACAGGTCCTCTATGCCCAGGTGCTGCCTCACCCATCGGCGGCACAGTCCACGGCCAGGTTCAAAGGGCCTCCTTGATGCTGTTCCAGTGTGAGATTCAGGAAAAGACTCTCTCATCTCCATGAATAATTAACACTCAGTTGTTAGTAAAATCTTGCTCAGGATTGCACACCGTATCTGGGTAAATGCCCAAATTCCTGCAGTGAAACAAGACCTTGCGTGCTTCCTCTAGTTTAAGCCTTTGCCATGTACCTTGAGGAATGACCTGAAGCTGAACTGGATTATTTTTTGTACTTTGGTTATGCTTTTCTCTGCAATGCAAGCCACGGTCTCTGCCCTTCCAGGACAATGTGGCTCAATTCTACTTCTTTTTTCCTTCCTGTGGCATATCATTCTAATGAGATAATAGTAAATTCTTTAATGACCTGCCTCAGGTGTCTTATATTTCTTTACCTCAATTACTCAACACAAGGCCATGCGCACAATGGATGTTTAATGACTTTCAAATCCACGTATTGGTATTAGCATTGATTTACAGTCTATGAATAGCTATTCCTTATGACTCAGGCCACCCTCATAGGAGACACACTCTGAGACAGGCTCAGTGAGGTGTGTGGGTCACATCACCCTGAGAGATCTGCCACATTTTCTCCTGGGTATGACATTTGTTCTCCTGTTCAGATTGTTCCAAAGGGCTTAGTAATGAAGGAGTGGTCATGATATTAGTTCCCAGGTTGTCACAATGGCAGGTCTACCCAGAAGCTCAACTCCTGATATCTGGGATGATGGGGCTGGGTTTCTATCTGGTGCATGCCTTTGTCTTCATGCAGAGCAATACCCAAGCCCTCGACTGACCTGACTAGGATGTAGGTGATAAGTCAGCAACATAGTTGTATCAGGAAGACTGGAATTCAAGTCTTGACTTTGAGAAGTCATAGACTAGCTATCAGGTCAATACAGACATGTTGATCAGCAAAGCACTGACTGTCTGAGGGTCAAGGCATTTATCTTTTACATCACCGATATTTTATCCTAACATGAGATGGAAGAAAACATTACTGAGATCTAACTGGAAATATCATTGTTTAAGCTGAGTTATATTTTTATCTCTGTGCATCAGAGCCAGCACCAAGGAAACTGTTGATCTTTTTTTGCTTTCTCATCTTGACAAACTCTTAATAATTGTACATGAAGGAACTCATACAACGGAATGGCAACAACTAAACAACCCACTTTAAAAATGAACTAAAGACTGAATAGATATTTCTCAAATGTGCAACACAAATGTCCAACAGGTATACAGAAAAAGGTGCTCAATCTCACTAATCATCAGGAAAACACAAATCTGAGCCACAATGAGATATCACTTCATGCCTGTTAAAATGGCTATTATCAGAAGGATGAAACATAACAAGTGTTGGCAACGATGTGTCAAAATGGGAATTCTTGTACATGCTTGGTGGAAATACAAATTCGTACAGCCGTTATGTAAAACCATATGGAATTTCCTAAAAATATAGAAAATAGAACTATTTCCTGATCTGCTAATTCCACTTCTGGAAATAAAATCAGTATTTTCAAGAAATGCCTGTACTCCTAGTCTTACTTCAGCATTATTTGCAATAACCAAGATCTGAAAACAAGCTAAAATGTCTGTCAGTGGTTGAATGAATTTTTTTTTAATTCTGAAAATATATTCTATATAGCAGAAGGAATATTATTCAGCCTTGAAAAAGAAGACAATCCTTGCTTCTGCTGCTGTGGATGCATCATGTTAACTTATTTGCATATGTTGAACCATTCTTGTATTTCTGGGGTGAATCCCACGTGATCATGGCGAATGGCCTTTTTAGGGTAGTGTTGAATTCTGTTGGCTAGTATGTTGTTGAAGATTTTTGCATCTGTGTTCATCAGAGATAATGGCCTGTTGTTTTCTTTTTCTATTTTGTCTGTTTGTTTTTGATATCAGGGTGGTTCTGGCCTTGTAGAAGTAGTCGGTCTTCTTCGGTTTTTTGAAATAGTTTGAGTAGAATCAGAATTAGTTCTTTTTTTTTTTAATGTTTGGTAGAATTCATCAAAAAATCTATCAGGTCTGGGGCTTTTTCTTGATGGGAAACTTTTTATTACTACTTTAATCTCATTACTTATTATTGGTCTGTTCTATTTCTTTATGGTTCAATCTTGGAAGGTTGTCCAGTAATTTTATCTGTATTTTTCTAGGTTTTCCAGTTTGTTGGTGCATAGTTGCTCATAACGGTCTCTAATTATGCTTTATATTTCTGTGATATAAGTTATTATGTTTCATCTTTTATCTGATTTTATTTATCTGGGGCTTTTTTCCCCTTAATCTAGGTTAAGTTTTGTCAATAGATGCTGAAAAAAGCAGTCAATAAAATTCCACATATCTTTGTGGTTAAAAAGCTTCAAGACATTGCATATAGAAGGAACATACATCAACATGATAAAACCTACACCTAATATCATATTGAATGAAGAAAAAATGTATTTTCTATTAAGTATGAAAGAAGATAAGGATACCCACTTTTACCACTTTAGTTCAACATAGGCTAGAAGTCCTAGCCAGAGTAATTAGCCAAGAAAGAGAAATAAAGGGCATACAGATTTGAAAGGAAGAGGTCAAATTATCTTTTCTGCAGATAACATATTGTATTTAGAAAAACTAAAGACTCCACCAAGAAACTCTTAGAACTGATAACTTTAGCAAAGTGGCAGGATACCAAATCAACGTACAAAAATCAGTAGTGTTTCTATACACTTACAGAAATCAATCTGAAAAAGAAATCAAGAAAACAATCTCATTTATAGTAGCTGCAAAAAATAAAAATAGCCAGAAATAAATTTAACCAAAGATGTGAAAGAACTACAATGAAAACTAAAAGCATTGTTGAAAGAAATCAAAGAGGACACAAACAAAGGGAAAGATGTCCCAGGCTCATAAATTGGAAGATTAATATTGTTAAAACGTCTACAGTAGTCAAAGCAACCTACAGGTGCAATGTAATCTTTGTGAAAATTCCATGTGAGTCAATTCTCCCTAATAAACTCCCTTTCATGATACATATATCCTATTAGTTCTGTCCCTCTGCAGAATGCTGACTAATACAACATTCTTCACAGAAATAGAAAAAAAAAGGCTTAAATTTTTTATGGACCTACAGAAGACTCCAAAGAATAAGAGTACTCCTGAGCAAAAAAGAATAAAGTTGGAGGCATCAGGCTACCTGATTTCAAATTATACTACAAAATTATAGTAACAAAAACAGCATGGCATTGGCATAAAAACAACCATATGGACCAATGAAACAAAACACAAAATCCAGAAGTAAATCATAAACACATAGCCTATTTTTAAACCTTCTGCAAATAATAATTAATCAATAATCAACTACATTTTTAGAGTGTTGCTTCCGATTGTGGTTACAAGAGTGTATACATTTGGCAAAACTAATTGAATTGTATATTTTCAAAGGGATTTTATTCTGTGAAAACTATACATCAATAAAAGTGATTTAAATTTAAAATATAAAGATTTATTCCATATGTGTGCATATGTAAATATGTGTGTATATATACACCTATATATACATTTTTATTCATATGTCTACTCCATGTACATATAATCTGAAGGAGGAGTCCAGGGACCTTGTTGGTGGAAGGAATGGGGAACTAGGAACACAAGAGTGAAGTGGTGACAGTGGGAAGGAGAATGAAGTTGGCCTCCTGGCCATGGTTGGGGGACACAGTTACATACATGAAGGGAACCAGAGTTGAAAGAACAATACTTCTCAATGCTACTTCAGTCCCTTGCTTTAAAATGAAAACACAGGAAGAAGAAAAAACACAAAACACAAAAATGCAAGCTTTTTCCTCCTGACCCTTTCCCAGTCCTCTGTCCACTGAGGCCTCAGCAGCCACCAGCAGACACAGCAGAACAGATGAAGGAGACACAAACAGAAAAAACCAAGCACGCTAGTACCAAGTTGGGGAGCAGATTCTGGATTTTATTTCTTCAGTTCAGGCAGCAGAATACAGCAGCATGAGCTGCGGAGGAACTAGGTGTGTGCTTTGGGGTTCCCAGGGCAGCCGTGGATATGCAGAAGGAAGTCTCCGAATGCCATTAAGGAGATAGATTTGGGGCTTCCTGATGTCAGACCAGAAGGAGCCTCCAGGCAAGACTTCAAGCATTTGCTGGAACCTCTCAGCCCTTAGGCAGGCTCAGAAGAAAGAGGAAGTCAAGGTCCAGTTCAGCAGCAGCCTCCAGAATGCTGGCCGCTGCCCCCTCCGCAGCAGCTGGAGCCCCCTGAGGGCTGGCTGCAGCAGTCAGAGCTCTGGGGTCTGTGGCGGTGGGACCTGCGGTGCCTGTGGTGGCTCAGGCAGCAGCCACCTCCCCCGGAACTGCAGCAGCCCCCAGAGCTGGAGCCACAGCAGCCCCCAGAGCTGACGCTGCAGCAGGAAGACACTGGAGGGCACTTAGGGGGGCACTTTGGGGGGCACTTAGGGGCAGGACACTTGGGAGGGCACTTGGGGGTGCACTTGGGAGGAGGCTGGCACTGCTGTTGGCTCTGCTGGCAGGACATCTTGGGGGTGGGTGTTCAGGAGCTGAGGGAGAATCAGACAGAAAATCAGCCCCAAGTAGAAGTCACTTCTGTCCCTGTGACACTCTTAGCATCACTCAAGTATAAAAACATAATCTTCGGTAGTTTTGCTTCCAATAACTTCCTCAAACTCTCATAGCATCTTTTTCAAGCTTAGGACATCTTTGAATGTCAGACAATTGTAAACTAAGACTAAACAATATTGCAAAATGCATCTAAGATTCTAACATGTTGTCAGTGGAAGAGGGAAATATTACAAATACGTCTTCAGACGGAAATTGTCTAATTTACAAGTCATTTAAGGGAAAATCATTTCTAAAAGGAAAGAAGCAGTCATTCTCTCTTGTCATAACTTGCAAGACAATTTTACTTTGGAAGGTCAGCATTGCACAGGATCTTGACTACTAGGTCAGTAAACGCACTTCAATAGAGACAGATAAATTCATCTACTGCTGCACAGCTAGTACTGGAACCCTGACCTCCTGATCTCAGGTTGGAGCTCAGACTTCCTCAGCTCACCACCTGCTCAGGCTGATGGCTGACATGGTGGCTCTCAGGCTTGGTGTGTCTTAATCAACCCGGGAAGTTTGTGAACAAGTCTCAGATTCATAAAAATATGGGGTTCATAAGCCCAAAAGAGCCAGGTCCATGGCTCTGGCTCTTCCCTTGCAGGCAGAGACAGGGTTGTATCTTCCGAGGTGGGCTTTCCTCCTGTGGCCTGCCAGAGTGGAGCAGGTCTCTGTGTTTTAAGCCCCCATCTTGGAAGGCCCACCTCATCCCAAGGCAATTTGTTTCCTCTAGAGTTCAAAGGCACATGGCACAGCCAGCCACCTCTTTTCTTCTTCTCCTTCCCATTCCCAGTCAGCGCCCAGACCCCTTTTTGCAGCCTACCCCTTCAGTCTTTTCTGAACTCTCCACCTCTGACAACATGGCCGTAGCCCCGAGGCCCTTCCCCGCCTCCCCTCCTTCCCTGTTCTGAGCATCCCTGCTCCTGTTCTTACCGGAGTCACACGCAGCACAGGGTTCTTCAGCACCCCAGGAGGTGAGCGGATGGGGTGCGGTAGTCCTGAGTCCTTTTATCCTGGCCTGGGCTTTGCCTCAGCTGTGAGACAGGGCCTGGGCGTGAGAGGACCTGCCTCCTGACAGCACGTGGGTCCTGTGACAGGTGGTGACTCTCTCTCTCCGGGCTCAAGGCAGCCACTCCCAGTAGGAACGTGCCTACTTGAAATGGGGTTCCAGGATAACTTCTACCATCACCCACCTCATGTACTGGAAGGCTCCTTGCCTTGAGAACCTGTCCGTTCTCAGTCTTAGAACTTACGCCTATCTCCATGTAAGCTGGGTTGAAGTTGAAGTACTAATCCCTGAGGTTTCCATGCTTATTTCTCTCCCTGTGCACCACCAAACTGTGTGGCTGTGGGTGCAGTGTAGACATCTACACAAGTAAAACCCTGGAAGTAGAACCAGCCCAGGACCAGGCCCTGTGAGGTGGGACTGTTGGAACTATTTAGCCTGTAATCATAAAGCTGGAAGATAAAAAAGAATTCGTTACAGAAGAATTAGTTGGTTGTGAAAATCAATAAAGAAACCCAAAAAAGAGAAAGGGTGCCTGCCAGAGAGACTGAAGGGTTGTAGGCTCTGAATAAGTGAAACATTCATACTTTGCTGAATACAAAGTGAAGAAACTGATGTTTGTTTAACAAACGAAGCACAGCTTTTTTTTCTGATGAGAGTGAGTCTGGTTGTTTGGTGATGTTTGCTTTTAAATAACCCTTTTCTTCTGGTGGGGACCCTGATGTGTCAGTACTAAGATGTGAACCCAGAAGCAGCTCATTAGAGAAATGAGAAGCAGCAGCTCTGCTCTGTATTAGTGTGTGAATGAGGACTTTTCTGGGGTCACATTGAGGGCACTGGAGAAAGAGGAAGCCGAGAGAAATGGCTGTGAGACATTATAAGTCTACTCTTCCATGTGGGGTCAAATGGCTGGTGGGACCCTGTCCCAGATCATAGGGGGACAGGTGCCTTTTAAGGACAAGAGTCCTTACTATTTAATGTGAATGTGTTTATGTTGCTACTTTGGAAGGCCCTGTCCTCTCTCTCCCCTGGGGTCACTAGCTTTCTACGTGTTCACAGGATTTATATGAATGGAGTGTTTTGAATTTATACATTTTTAGGATATGAATGAAACACGTTGCTATTCATTCTAGGACACAGTGGTCACTGAGACAGCCATGACTGCAAGGTAGTGCACAAATGAAATGATTTCTGCAGATGACTACCAAGAAAAGCCAGATTAAATCACACGAGGGACAAGTCCTCTTCTTCCCAGCCCCCGACGGACTCCGGATATGCCCAGAGCTTGGGAATGATATCTAGGTCACCATGGACATGGTGACCCTAACCAAAACATGGTGGAGATACACGTGTATTCGTAAACACATGTACAGAGCTTACATATTTGGAGAGAGGTGCGTGTGTACTCCCTTTCTCAGAGCATCAATGTAGCAGCTGCCCAGACTCCTCTGACAACATCGTCGCTCCAAACACTTGCAGTGTGTCTCTGCTTCTGTTCCTTTATGACATCCAAGAAAACACTCTCCCATCCTTGGACGGAATTAACACTAAATTATTAGGTAAGTCTTGTTCATGACTGGACACTGTATAAGGGTAAATGTCCAAATTCCTGCAGTGAAATAAGACTTTACGTCCTCCCTTTAGCTACATCCTTTGCCGTCTACTCTCAGAAATGTTCTGAAGCTGAACGGGACTGTATTCTGTATTTTGATTACGCTTCTCCCTGCAATGCACGTCATGGCCTCCGCCCTTCCAGGACACTGTGACTCAGTTCCACTTGTTTTTTTATCCTTCATGTGGCATATCACTCTAATGAGATAATAGTCAATTCTTTGATGGTCTGCCTTGGATGGTTTATGATCCTTTACCTCTATTTTTTAACAAAAGGCTATACGCACCATGGATGTTTAATGACTTTCAAATCCACGTATTGGTATTAGCATTGATTTACAGTCTATAAATAGCTATTCCTTATGACTCAGGCCACCCTCATAGGAGACACACTCTGAGACAGGCTCAGTGAGGTGTGTGGGCTACATCACCCTGAGAGATCTGCCACCTTCTCTCCTGGGTATGACATTTGTTCTCCTGTTCAGATTGTTCCAAAGGGCTTAGTAATGGGGGAGTGGTCTGGACATGGGTTACCAGATTGTCACAATGGCAGGTCTACTCAGAAGTTCAACTCCTGGTATCTAGGATGATGGGGCTGGGATGCCATCTAGTCCGTGCCTCTGTCTTTATGCGGGACAACACCCAAGCCCTCAGCTGACCTGACTGGGATGTAGGTGATGAGTCAGCAACATAGTTGTATTAGGAAGACTGGAACTTGAATCGTGGCTGTGAGATATCATGACTTAGCTATTAAGTCAATAAGATATCTTGTCCAGCAAAGCGTTGACTTTCTGAAATGTCCTATTTGTCAAAGATTTTGTCTTTTATGTAGTCCAAATTTCATCATCTTATTGGATGTGAGTTAATACTGCTGAGATCTAACCAGATATAATTCAAATGGATTAATTTTTTTCTGTGTGTTCTATAATCAGTAACAAGTTAAGTTAGTCATCTTTGTTTTGTTCTTTTCGTATCTACAAAACCTTTAAACAATTACGGTGATGAAAAATACTATTAAAGTCTAGACGAAAATCTATTCTATTCAACTAGCATCTTTTAAAAATATTTTTATTGCTATTGATTGTAATTTTTAATATATTGATATCCTGCACTGCAGCTGTGCTGAACACTCCTAAATTCTTGCAGTGAACACTTTTAAAAAATTTGGTAAAATATATAACCCAAAATTTACAGCCTTAATCATATTTTAGTGTACAGTTCAGTAATATTAAATAAAATCACATCATTGTGTAACCAATCTCTAGAATATCTGTCTTCTTGCAACACTGAAACTCTACACCCATTAAACAAAAGCTGTCCCTTACTCCCTCTCCCTAGCCCTTGGCAACCACCATTTTACTTTATTTCTATGAAATGGAGTACTCCTTATGTCTCATATTAGAGGAATCATACAGTGTTTGTCTTTTTGTGATCAGCTTATTTAATTTAGCATATCTTTAGGATCCATTCATATTGTAGGAGGTACATAAATTTCTTCCCTTTTTAAGCCCATTGATTATTTCACTGTGTGTATGTGCCTCCTTTTGTTTCTGTAATCATTCAGCAGTGGACTCCTGGATTGCTTCTGCCTTTTAGCTGTTGTAAATAATAATGCTGTGAACATGGGTGTGCATGTACCCTGGCAAGACTCTACTTTCAATCCTTTGCATTATGTATACCCAGAAGTGGAATTGCTGGATCATACGTTAATTCTGCTAACTTTTTGAGAAATCAGCATGCTATTTTTCATAGTAATTATACCATTTTACATGCTCACCAACCGTGCACAAGGGTTCTAATTCCTCCGTAACCTCATGAACACTTGTTATTTTCTGTTTTATTTTGCTTTATTTTTAATAATAGCTGTTTTCTTGGGTTTGAGGTGGTATCTCATTGTGGGTTTTACTTTAAATAATTTAATCTAATTATGAATGATAACATATTTTGGATAGCAACCCATTACCAGATATATGATTTGCTAATATTTGCTCCCATAACAAAGATTTCCTTTTCATGGTATTGATGTTGTTCACTGATGCACAGAACTTTTTAATTTTTATATAGTTAAATTTATTGATTTTTACATTTGTTCGCTGTGCTTTCAGTATCCAAGAAATCATGATCAAATCCAATGTTGTGAAGATTTCTACCTACGTTTCCTTCTAGAACACTTTTTTTTTTTTTTTTTTTTTTTTGATATGGAGTCTCAGTCTGTTGCCCAGGCTGTAGAACAGTGGTGCAATCTCACCTCACTGCAACCTCCACCTCCCAGGTTCGAGTGATTCTCCTGCCTCAGCCTCCCAAGTAGCTGGAACTGCAGGCGTGTGCCACCACGTCCAGCTAATTTTTGTATTTTTACTAGAGACAGAGTTTCACCATGTTGGCCAGGATGATCTCAATCTCTTGCCCTCATTATCCACCTGACTCAGCCTCCCAAAGTGCTGGGATTGCAGGCATGAGCCACCGGGCCTGACCTGTAGCTGCAACTCTATGTTTATGTTTTTGGCTCTTATTGACTTAATTCTTGTGTAGTTGTAAGCTGAGGGTCCAGCTTCATGCTTTTGCATGGGCATATCAAATTTCCCAACACCACCTGTTGAAAAGATTGTCCTTTCTTCATTGAATGCTATTGGCACCCTTGTCAAGAATCATTTTCATTAGGTAGGCATGAGGATTTGTTTCTATAGCTCCAGCTACTCACAAAGCTGAGAAGGAGGATAGCTTGAGTCCAGGAGTTTGAGTCCTGCCTGGGCAACAGAGCAAGATCTTCTTTCTGGATGAAAAAAAGAATCATTTGACCATATATGTGAGGGTTTATCTATTTGAAGGTTCTCTTCCACTCTTCTATTCTATTTCATTGACCTATGTGTCTATCTTTATGCCAGTAACACACTATTTTTATTACGGTTGCTTTGTTGTAATTTTATTTTTAGAGATGGGGTTTCACTATGTTTCCCAGGCTTGTGTACAACTCCTGGGCTCAAGATATCTTCTATCCTCTGCCTCATGAATGGCTGAGACTGTAGTTAGGCACTACCATACCTGCCTGTAGTAAGTTTTAAAGTCAGGAAGTGTGTGACCCTAACTTTATTTTTCTTCTTCAAGATTGTTTTGGTGATTTGAGAAATAATTTAGTTAGTCATAGTGTACAGTCCTTTTAATGTGCTGTTGAGGATTCCTATCATCCCTCAATATCATCGAAGATATTGATATATAGTTTTCTGGCTTTGGTATCAGGATAATGCTGGCCTCAGAGAATTAATTCATGTGTCCTCTTTTCTTTTGGAAGTATCCTCTTTTCAATTTTTCGGAAGCGTTGAGTAAGATTAGTGTTGATTTCTCTTCAAATGTTTGGTAGAATTCATGA